GTAGCAGCAGCAGCAGCAGCAGCAGCAGCAGCAGTAGCAGCAGCAGCAGCAGCAGCAGCAGCAGCAGTAGCAGCAGCAGCAGCAGCAGCAGCAGCAGCAGTAGCAGCAGCAGCAGCAGCAGCAGCAGCAGCAGTAGCAGCAGCAGCAGCAGCAGCAGCAGCAGCAGTAGCAGCAGCAGCAGCAGCAGCAGCAGCAGCAGTAGCAGCAGCAGCAGCAGCAGCAGCAGCAGCAGTAGCAGCAGCAGCAGCAGCAGCAGCAGCAGCAGTAGCAGCAGCAGCAGCAGCAGCAGCAGCAGCAGTAGCAGCAGCAGCAGCAGCAGCAGCAGCAGCAGCAGCAGCAGCAGCAGCAGCAGTATCATCGTAAAACGAAATAACGCGATCGCTTCTGCGCTCACAATGCGTACGGAATAAATTTAAATTAAAGGGGCAAATAACAAGTGCAGGTCTATGATCGACAAATAGTGATCCCGGTCCAGCTATGCAAACGAAACTCTTCAAGCATTTTGACTGGAGGACATATGAACGCAATATTGCTATTGTTGTTCGCTCGCGACCATTTCCAATGGTGCCAATGCGTATTCAGTTATAGAGTAAGTCGGATCTCAGCCCTCGAAAGGAAAAAGACAATCACTTAACCTAATCTCTTTATGCATCTGCGGTCGATGAGTTCATCAGTGTTTCTGAGCAAAATACGCATCGAACCAAGTTAGAAGTTTGTACCGAGCGTGGATGCATGCATACATCCCTCTTCTTGTTATCAACAGTGCAAACGTTTATTCATTCTGCGCATTGTGTTCATCTCCCAGGCCACTTTCTGCTTTCAACTCAAAATCTCATTCTGTGTACTTATTTACCTGCTCCTGTGGGACAAGGTATATTGGCCGCACGAGCAGACGTTTATCTGAACGAGTCCGTGAGCACCACCCGGCCTGGTTGAATAGTGGAGTAATTAAGACTATCAACAGCTCAGTCGTTTTACACCTAGTGGAATCAAATGACGTAGTTAAAGTGGCCGAGGCGTTTCGGCCCCTCTAGTTAGTTCGCAGCCGACGATCTAAGAGCATTAGGAGTCGCATCTTGGCCACAACAGAAACAATTGGAAATCACCTACGTAATCTCCCTCTGTGCTCGCAAAAACAACTCGTAAGAACACTCGGTCTTCTNNNNTATTTTTCAACTTGTCATGGTTTCTCCTCTCTACTAAACAGCTTGATATAAATTGGGATATATTAGCCCGTAGAAGAATAACCGTAAACGAGCCTTTTTGTTACTCTGTGTTTTCTTACAATGTGTAATGATGGCATATTCGGACAATTCAAACTGCTTCCATGCAGTTTTACACCAGCAATTTCATGCTGATGTCTACTGCTGAAACGTCTGTATACTTACTGACCTTTGTCATGCCAGTAAACCTGATTATTCAACAAACTAACGGGGCATAAATTGATATATTTGTTCTTGCGGATTCATTGCTCTATCGTCGCTCGGATCCTATGGTAGTGCAACTGTACAGTAGTATGTTGGTTATCTAAACTGTAAGTTTAGCCGCATTTGTCGTCTTTCACCCATAAGTTTATGTTTCTTTCTTCATTTTCTGCTCGATGAGGATCAATAAAGAGTGCTTTAACCCCCTCTCCTTTGAGTCCAGTCTGCGTTTCTGAGCTTGGAAAGTTTCATCTATTGTTTAAATCCATTGAATCATCTGACTGCCTTCAAACCATGTCTCTCACAAACTAAGGATCTAAGTGGATCAGGAAAAGCCTTCAACCATCATTGTGAATTATTTCTCGTTTCTTTGCTAAAACAATCTTCTTTGATTGTCCGTCTCTACATAGCTACTATTCTAGGGGAGACGCTCACCAACAGACAGATACTGAACGTCAAACTCAAAAATAAACGTTCCGTCCCCACTTCTTTAACGGCTACCTACATTTTGCTTCCACTTGTGTGGTGAGTTAGATAAGTTGAAAGGCGGGAAGGCTATCAAGAAAGATGAAAGAGCGCGGACCGACCTGATTGAGCACTGGATACATGATAATCAGCGTAGTTATTTGCCATCTCGCAGAAACCGGGCTGCAAATTGTTGATGACGATTTCAAAATCATATCCCAAGTACCTCCGGACAGATCAGTGCCCGTACGACCACACCAGTTATCAACAGATGAATCGGTAGTAATTAAACAAGTGAACCCATTGACGGGTCCACGGAGGAATACTGGCTAAAACAGTAAAGCTGCCCTGGTCTCAAGCTGAACTGGAAAGTGAATTTGATCGCTGTCTCTGTGTAAGGCAGGAACTATAAGCAATCCAAGCAAAGAGGCGAGTGACAGAATTCTACAAGAGTGACTGGAGAGTTCATTACTTCCCTCACCTTTCTGAAGGTTTAGGAATACCCGAACAAAACTGATGTTTGATTACTACATGCGAATATTCTGTAGATCCTGGGATGTTTATTCATGAAACAAAACAAAACAGTGATTCAAAACTTTGAATGACATTCAGAACGCCTAAACTCGACACTTGAACTTCAGTGCAGGGTAGTATTTGTGAGTTGATTTGCCTATCCACCAACTAAAAACGTTTCAATCATAGTCATTTCTGTGTAAAAATAGAGGGGATATTGAAACTCTGTAGTTATGCCCAGAATCGCTGTGATCAATAATCCTTGCACTACAATCCATATAATTGAATACCGTAAAATACCTCAATAATTTAGGCATTCATTTTACTAATTATCCCTCTCCTGTTTAGCTCATGCGGGCTCGCGCACACCAAGATGCATACATTTGTTCGCTCTGCCCTGTTTTCTTGATCCAATGACGGACACTGACCAGTTTTGTATTTCCAGTTGTGTATACACACGCCGTTTCACAGACCAATTTGGTTAATCAGGTGCTTTTTCATTCTCCGAGTCTGTATCAGTTATAGTTTGTTATTTACCATTAAGAGGAATACGGATTTTTGTGTTTTCGACCGCCAAATCACATACGCCAATATAATAGTGTGAGGGAAAACATTCCACACAGCTTCCCCTTATTCAGCTAGAGACATTTTGTTTAAACCCACCAGGGATAACTTCATATACACTTGCAAGAATGCTCATACAGCTCAGACGTGTAGTTTGATTGCCATTTACTTCACATACCAATGGGCTGAATGCCTTATATGCTCAGAGAAAACCTCTCTTACAACAAGGTTTTATTTTTTGGCATATATATATATATCCTTATTATCCTCATTCGCAACGGTATTTACATAACTGAGAGGAATTAGCCGTTCTCAATGCATCAAAACAAATGAAATTACGCGACCCCTCAAAAACAGACAGTTGTGAAATTAGGTTTCATACGTTACATATGCGAGATGTGTTGTTTTGTTTGGTACACACCTCTTGGCCAGTGTATGCTGATTGCCAATTGAATTGGTCTTTGTCATCAAAAGCTTGCACAAATTGCATTTTGGTCTCACATCAGTCCCATTTCCGTTGAGCCCTAATGTAGTCCTTCATTGCATACAACACGTTTTCCTTAACAAAACATTCACTGTAAACTTTTCATGTGACATCACAAAAGTGATTCAAGGTACCGATCGTCCGTTCGACCTTCCCCGATTGACGAATGCAGTTTTAAAGAACCGCTGAAGCATGATAAAATAAATGTTTTACTCAACGACTGAGATACATGAATTTTTTATGGACACTGTAGACCACCAAATGCGATGAATAAAGTTAAGCAGAGCTGAATTGGATTGTATCTCAGGTAGCCCCCCTCTGGAGACGAACTGTGTGTGCACACTCGCAAATATTTTTGCGGTGATTGACGTCTGCAAGATGACTTACGCCCGTAAATCAATCGTTCCAATCCTCCGAAGCACGACAGAGAACAATCGCAAAAGGGATCGACAACATAACGCGTGCCTGTAGATGAGAAAGAGGATTGTATAAAGCAAACAGAACGAACAACACTTCCGTAACTGATGCGTTTTAAGTGTTTACAATAAACTGACTACCGAATGCGTGGATTTCAATTTGCATTTCATTATCCCCCAAGTTTTTCAGTGGATCACAAATGTGAATTTGATTGTCCACGTACGAGCGTCAGATTTGATTGGCAGTCAGAATGATGTTTCTGATGCACTCATCATTAATTTTTTGTTTCGAAACTACCTTTTAAATAAGTCTGGTGGTTCAATGCTCCGAGACTACCCCAGCTATAAGGCAACCGATAAGAAACCGGTAGAATGAACCTGTCAAATTCGACACGGTTCAACATGTAATAAATGAACTGAAAACGCAGAGACAACGTTAAATTAAATAGCTTTAAAACAGTAAACTTTCATCGCGCGCGTTAAATAATTGTCTTGATTTCTTCCAAAGCAAATAAACTACTACTTCTGTGGTGTTATTCATGGGCCTCAGTATCGGGCGTTTCCTGCAGCTGATTACGAGTGCGCATGTAAGTTCGGTCGTGATTCCCGATCTTCAGATATTTCGAATACGGCAGTAAATCACGGGGATTAGTGACGAAATGAATACAAAAGGGACAGACTGTCCTCGAAAAAACGGTTTGTGAGTCATGGTAAATTAGCCTAGCTAACTTATGTGTAAGACGCTGCTCTTATCCATAATCTTGACACGCAAAAGCCAATTTCTAGAATTCTGGGTTGTAAGCTCTCTTTCACTAACTGCAATGAGTTTCAGAAAAGAACAATATGTATCCGCATTAGGATATCTGAAACTCCAAAAGTAGTCATAATTTGAAGACCTAAGTGAAAATGTCAGTATATTCTCTTCTAGGTTCTAGTTGTGAAACAGTTTATGGTGAAAATCTGTCAATGTTAGATCCTTATTCTACCTGGAGCAGTCACAAAGGTAGATATTGACTTGGTATTTTAGGCATCTGACTGTTCTGGGATTAAGAGGACACTGACACCTGACATCTGTGAATAGGAATTTTCGACCAATGAGGGGGGATACTTGTTAGATGAAAATGAAAATTTCCGGTCTTCCTTGATATTTTTGTGAGATGGTTCCACTTGACTCACGCTGTTCCACGCTGCTAACTCGCGTGAATGGATCGGCAATTCATACGTGCAGTTACAATATGCGTAAGAGGATCTGTGGAAGGTGTCTTTTTTTGTTTGTCTTTGAGAGCTAAACAATGGTCAGCTACTACGACACGGCCTCCGAGATTTTAAGATGAAATAATAACCAACGCTTGCTTGGTCTAGGGAAAACCAAGAGTAGTGAAGAGCACGTATGACTGTTGTTAAAGCAGTTACAGTGATCTTTCAAAAGTGATTAAATTAAGACACATTTATCCTCGTTTAATCATGGGCATTACGCAGTTCTCTGTCGATTAGTTC